GTGCCTTCGCCATGTTGTGGTTGTGCACAATTTCATCGCGGACACACGTATATCTGGGAACAGGAGTTCGTACAAGAGTTGTGGTTTTTTGTTGCAGGTTTGTGTGCTGGGCCTCGACGGTGAATTACCATGACGCAGACCACGGTATCGTCGTTTTCCTCGGGGTCGCAGTGTCAAGGTCCTCGCTGCGGATGGTCCCGAGCTCTACCCAAAACGCCATTCTGCGAGATCCATGGTGTTCGTGCCAGATCCCTTGGCCGTGTCGCAGCGGACGTATGATGGGCAACTGGAATATTACCCGGAGTTTGTTAATGCACAGAATAATGTGATCGCGATGTTGAAAGGTGTCATCGAGCGGCATGTTGCGGTCTCGGTCGCGCATTCGACCGACAGAGAAATAGGCCTGGCATCAGAGCCCTTCGCCACGGTTCCCTGTGTCGGTGGAGGCGTCGGACGCAGTTTCGTCGTCTGCGGCTTATGCCTTCCAATCTGAGTCTGAGGAGCAGGTCGACGGGAACCTGCGCAGTCGCTTAGGCCGCGGCGTGCCGCGAGAGAATCCCAGCACTGAGGATGTCGAGTTCATGTACATCGCGATGCGTAAAGACATCACCACCTCGACTCCCACGGAGGTTGTTACCAGTGTTATGCTTAGTCTTGTCGAGGAGACCACTGCGCCGAAAGCGGGCGGGCTTGCTGTTACGGCGCCGCCGCCGCCGCCTGGACGAGCAGCACCAGGAGCTTTCGACGATGATTGATGAGCTGCGCGCGCGGTACATCGATTTAGAGAGACAAAGGTTCGAGAGTTGTCCAGCAGCGCTTCTGCTTCGCATGGTGTTCGCTGGCGCTCTCATGGTATCCCCGCAGCTGCTGGTAGGGTGTTATTACCCCGCCGCCGTCGGCCGTGCCGTTCACCACGCAGTGGGTGCACAGGCATGGGAGGAGCTGTCGCCGCGCTGACTGCATCCTTGCGCACCCTGATGGCCAGGACGTGAACGATTCGGGCGACAGGGCGCGCGCGAAGTCACGACTCGCTGGCAGCCGCTCCCCTCTCTCACAGGGCCCACGAAGGCTGGAACCGCAAAGCGCTCCTATTGACTGTGGCAAGCTTGACGACATCATTGGCGAGGACATGGTCGACGATCTCGTGTCTCTCCAGTCTGATTGGATGGCGCCTGAATGGCTTTGCACACCGATCGATGAACGACCCCTTCCTGATGCGGGCTGACGAGTACTATCTGGCGCTGGTCTCCTGCATTGGCCCTAGTTGTCGCGCCTGCTTCGAGCCGGCTCTTTCATCGCACACTCCGTTTTCTTCGTGGTTGCCTTCGTCGGGGGGCTCAGCATCTCCATCTTCGAGCCGGCGTCTCCCCCACCTACTCGCACTCGGTATCCCTCGCGGGGCCCCTCCTCTTGCGCCTCGTCATGCTCTCCTTCCTGTTCCCAGAGTGTACTATGCCATGCACGGGTGCTCCCGCCTTCTCGTATTCCCCGCTGCGCGGCGCGCGGGGGGGGGGGGGGATTTCTCCTGTGACTTGACACATGGACCTCCTCCTCCATATGCGCTCGCCCTCTGTGCGCCAGAGGGGCTTCGGTTTCGAAGGGTCCCGCGCTGGCCCCTCTCGCAGCGCGACGCTGCTGACGCCGCTGGCTCAGCCAGAACGTCCTGCTGCGTCTCCAGCTCCACCTCATCCCCGTCCCCCACACCCCCCTCCGCCCCCTCTCTCTCCCTGCGCGAGCGCGCGGCAACCATCGTGCATGCTTCGCTCGAGCTCTCCTGCTCGAGCTGCAGCTGTATTGCGCAGTTTGACTTTCGCTGCATTCCAGCAGTGGCAGTTGTAAGCATTTGCCAGAAGCGTACTTCCGCTACGCCACAAGCTTAGCCATGGCCTATGATGATCACCGTCGCCACCGCTGGCGGCGACGGCGAACGCCTACAGCGATGAGACTACTGGTCCTTGGGCAAATCAGCCACAGGCACTTACTACCGAAGCAGCCTTTGCCCCAAGAGGTAGTACCCAGGACATCAGACGAGGCGCGCCCAGCTACTGAGGGCCATCCGCCGCGCGAGATCGAAGTGCACTCGGCTTTTAGACGATCAGCGCGCTCTCTATGATGCTTTTTCTGGTTTTGCAGGCCAGCCCTAACATAATCGAAGCTCGTTTCCGCCGCAAGCTGGCCAGATGGCCGCTCTCTGTTCCAATCGGCCGCCTCGCTCGTCCAGCCCCGAGTGCGCTGGGGAGGCGGAGTTGGTCGGCACCGCCACGGGTGGCGGCTGCGGTCTGGAGGATGCAATGGGACAGCTAGTGCATAGCACACCGATTCCAACGTGTGGGTCGTTGCACTTTGGGGTGTTTTTGCACAGCACGAGGTTGCATTGACATTTCGCAGTGCGCCCGTTGGTCGCCAGGCTCAAGTGCAGATGTCTGGGGCTCCGGGACGTGAATCTGGAGAGTTGTCCGTGTTTCGGCAGCGCTGGGGATAAGGAACTCGGTTTGGCAGCTCTCGCCACGCATGCTGCGTTTCGGGCGACCAACCACTTCCGTGGTCAAGCGGTGCCCGCTGCCCAAAAGTGTTCCGATGCACAAGCCTGGCCCGGGCTTTTGACCGGAGGTGACAACGCCATGGGTTCACCCGTTGACGCGTGGTTAGTCGTTCCTCTCTTTTGTGATTGTGTCCTCCCGTTCCCTCTGCCTGTCCCTCCCTCCTTTCTTCGTTTCACCATGTCTAATTTGTGGTATTCCTGCGTTTCGTCCCCCAGGCCAAGGCCAGCTACGTGCGTTTGCCTATAGCAGGTCGGCGCACGCAGGGTTCGCGCCTGGTTTGCCATGCGAGCTGTCGTTTCATCTGGACGGAGGCCTGGTGGAGCACTTCGGGCACTCGGCTTCTATATGTTATGTGCGTTGTCTGCTTCCCTTGTCTCCTTGAATTCGCCGCCGCCCACCCCCCCTTTTCCTCGCCTCGCACTTCCTCGCCCCGACTTCTGAGGAACATCTTGGGGGGATGCCAGCCCGTCGGTTTGGGACTCCGCGCCCCCTGGCTTAGGCCAGGTCGGCGGCGCGTTCCCGCGGGGCGGAGCCTGCCCCGCGCAGCGGCGCACCGCGAAAGCACACGTAGGCCAGCTCCTGCCGGCTGCACGGGGGCAGGGCTCCGCGCGGAAGGGGCGAGCTGCTCTTCGGACCTGGCGCACTTGCCCCTCCCCCTCCCCCTCCTCCTCCTCCTCCTCCTCCTCCTCCTCCTCCTCCTCCTCCTCCCCCATCCACGGCCTGAGGCCGTGGATGGGGAGGCGGGACTGTGACGCGCGAGCCTCACTGGGGCACAACTTTAGGGCCGGTACGTCCAGACAGGGGCCCCGCTCCGGGCGCTGGCGCCTCCTCGGCCCATGGGCAGAAGAGTGGCGACGACGGTCTGATGATGAGGGGCGATGTGTTACACGTGTTCACGGCCTTTGACAGTGAAGGCACACGCGTCAGAGCCAGAGTTCCTTCGACTCCATCCCCTATCGCGGTGTACCTTCAGCTGTCTGGATGACCCCTGGAAGCAGCGAGATGGGGGTCATCCTATGCTGCGAGAGGCGCACACGGGCATGTCCTCAAAAAGCCGATCAGCCATCGGAAAATCGTTCGAGGACGCGGGCAACATGATAGCACGTGCTTTCAGGCCGTCAAGAATTTGGCAAGGCGCGAGCTTCAAGCCGCCGCCGACATTGCCAGGCGTCACACGGCCGCGGCAAATTGAGAAATCGACGCGTCATGGAAGATCGTCAGACGTCCAGCTGCCAGGTCCAGGCAGTGCCATGCTCCGATCAGACGGGAACGATCAGGAGGGAAAGGCCGAGGTGGCCAAGCAGCTAGACCGCGAAATGAAACTGCAAGCGCAAGGATCCAGGAGCAGCGACAGGGTGAGGTCGCCTGTGCGAAGTTTCGCCGCTCGATCACCTCCGCCCCTCGGGGTACGTCTGTTCGCAAGGTGCCCAGGGGCCTGTCCTGAAGCCCTGGGTTTGGGGGGTCTCCTTGTTGGCCTTGACGCTGCGGGGTACTCCACCCAAGGTGTTGTAAGAATATCGGTCGGGTATTATTGGCGCCGTGGGAAGCAGGAGGAGGGCGCAATCTTTATATATCATGGGAGGGGCACAGCAGGGTCCACGCTAATATATATATATATATATATATACACAAAAAGAACTGCGGTACATGGGAAGCAGAGAAAGAGAAGGAGAAGAGTGAAGATCACCTGGGGGCTGTTGGGAAGGAGGTGCAACAGCAGGATCGCCGTCAAAGCAGGTGGGGCTGCCACAACTTGAGATTTGTGTGACGCCGGAGGGCGTTTCACACCTTGCGATTGCAACTGAAAGAAGTTCCGAAGCCAACGTTTTGAGGATGTCTCTACCGAAACTGTCGTTTTGAAGTATGTGAGTGCGTCGGGTCTCAAGCTCAATGATGTGTCTCACGCGAAACGGTTGTTTTTCTAAGAGCGATTTCCGAAGTCATTGAAATCCATTGTCTGTTTGCAGGATTCACGGTAAACGGTCCACGACCCATCGTGTTGTTGGACCGTGACACCGCTATCTGCGTGAGGGGCGCGTCCGTTTTTCGGATGCTTGAGGATGTTCAGGCCCCCAGAGACCAGGACACAGACTAAAGGTCATTGGCAAGTCAGGGGAACGACACCTTTTCCTGCAAAGTCAGATTTGGTCGTCCACTGCAGGTTCTTGTTCCTGCTCTGCAGGGTTCGGGCGTTTGTCCAGGTCTAAGGTGTGATTGGCATGCTTTGAGGGCCTGTGTCCGGGTGTGTGCCAGAAGTGTTGCAGTGCAGTGTTTGTTTGGTTCTGCGTGCCCAGGTTTACGGGGCCCCGAGATGTCCCGAGCGAAAAGGCCAGGAAAAGGGGGGCGGCATCAACGAATCGCTTCTGAGTTCGACGCCCCAGGGGAGGTGCGTCTGATGTAACAATATGTGCCGACATGCATACGTATACGCATGCGCAAGTACATGCCAGCTCGCAGGCGAAGCCCGCAGAGGAGAAGCCGGAGGACAGATGGGCTCCGCCGCTCCAGGAGGCGAGACGCGGTGGAGGAGGAAGAGGAGGAGGAGAAGGAAGAGGGACGAGCAGGAGGGTTTGGAGACGGATTGATGGACTGATTGAGCATTGCATGAGGTGTGGGAGCCAGGACAAGGAGGGCAGGAAAAGGGTTGAAGTGGCCAGAACCACGCGTGGAGAGGGGCAGGGGGGACAACCCCCGCCCATCCCCCGCACGTGCGTGGGGGAGAAAGGGAAGGAGGAGGAGGAGGAGGAGGAGGAGGAGCAGGATGAGGATATAGGCAGGAGGGAGATGGAACCAGGAGGGAGATGGAGGCAGGAGGAGCAAGAGGATTCTTAGGAGGAGCAGGAGGAAGGAGGGGAGGATCGACGCAGGAGGGGAGCAAGGAATGGAGAAGAAGGAAAAGAAGGAGGGCAAGGACGAGCAGGAGGGTTCAGAGGAGGAGGTGCCGAGCGCGTGAGTGAGCACGCAGGGAACTGCGCAAGTATGCAGCGCACGCTGGCTCCTGGGGCTTGGGGGGGGCTGGGGCGTGGGGCGAGCATCCCAGGAAGCACGCCCCCAGAAGGCTCAAACCCGCCACGCAGGCCCCGCCTCGGCCTAGCGCAAGGGGGAGGAGGAGGAGGAGGATGAGGAGGAGGAGGAGGAGGAGGAGAAGGAGGAGGAGAAGGAGGAGGAGGAGGAGGAGGAGGAGAAGAAGGAGAAGGAGCCCCCCCCCTCGTCCTGCAGCCCCTTCCCGTCCTCATGGTGTTCCGCGGGTTTTCTTCTGGACATGTGCCCTCCTCCTCCTCCTCCGCCTCGCCATCTTCCTCCCTCATCTCTCCTTCTGCCTCCTCCCGCACCCCCCCTCTTCCCTACGCACTCCGTCCCTACGATATCCTCATAATCTTCCGTCCTCCTCATCCACTTCCTCGTCCTCCTCCCTCCACCTCGGCCTCTTCCGACGAGCTCCAAAGTGCCCAGGAATGCCCAGCGCGCAATCGATATGAAGCAGATGCGCCCGCATTCGAGAGCCCTGGTCAGAGCCTAACGACCTCTTCTCCCACCCAGATCCCCGAAGGGCGCTGTTTTTCTCTATCTGTCCTTCTAGATCCTAGCGGGCCTGCCTTCCCGCTCACGGAGGGAAAACAATACGGCGTGCGAAGTATGAAGCGCTGATGGTTGGACCAGGCGACCCGCTCCCAGTCAGAATTCTGCAGGGAAGTCTTGGGTCCCGATACGCAAAGCCAGAGGGTATTGCCGGAGATATTGCTGGAGAACGTGAGTTTCGTTTCGTGTGGCTGACGTGTTGGCCGCCCCCCTCCCCGGTCCTGGAGAAGGGAGGTGCCAGAACGCCTAAGGTAAGGTTTCTTGCGGAAGTTGCGCGTGGACAGAGAAATGGAGGAGGAAGAGGAGGAGGAGGGAACCGGCTGAGAAGCGAGAGGGGGAGGAGGAAGAAGAGGAGGAAGAAGGGAACAAGAGGAGGACCATAGGGTGGCAAGTGTGCCTTGCGATGGGTGTCCCCCCTAACGCATCAAGTTCAACGGGTTGGTTGTGCATCGAAGATGCCCAAGGTGAGTCAGCGCCGCCCCCTGCCTTGCGGAAGCCGTGCTGGTGAGCCGTGTGTTCCCCCAGTTGGTGGGCAATCAATGGGGTGAGCATTGGGGAAATCATATGTGAGGTCACCATGGAAGTCGTTACCATCGTTCCCTCCGCCCTTATTTTAAGACAATGCGATTATTACTAATAATAATGATGAAACCTTTTGTAGTTAGGAAAAGAAAACGCGTCGGGCTCCAGTAAACGTCTACCAGGAAAAGGTGCGGCCGCCTCTCTCTTAGTGTGCGCGCGCATCACCACCCATGTCTTTATCACTACGTACCGGGATACCACCGCCATCTCGCACACAGTGTTAAGGAACCAACCATCTACAAGATCCGCGAGAAGGGCCCCGCTGGGTTGAGACATGAGAGCAAGGAACGCCCGGGGATGACGGGTACCTTACGAAACACAGGACACCAGTCGAACATGTGACGGAAAGAGATCCTGACGCCGTGCGCCCCAGCAATCACCACAAGAGCTGTAATGAAAAGGGTCGAAATCAATGTGATGTTCCCACCCCCATAGAAATACATCCAGGCCCAAGAGTCAGAGAGGGCCGCACATGACGGAGGAGAACCCCTCAGCCATCATATCAGGGATCGGACGTTCATACCATGTCTCGGTCCATGCCGGGAGAGCGTGGCAAGAGTTGAATTGGGCAAACTATGGAGATTGTTCGTGTGGCAGATGAGGCTTTGTCATCAGAAAAGGGTAGTTGCGTTACTGGGTGCCTACGTCATGGCATGTTGGACCAGCTTAGAAACAAACCTTTTACGTTGAGATCGAGGACGCACTGACCGAAGTCATTGGGGTAGGAGCTGACGGTCCAAGGGATGAGACGGCAGATGGCGGTGCCGCTGACACCTGATCACGCATTTGAAGGATATCCCGGGGATACGCATCAGTTTCCAAGGCATGGTGAGACGCCCGACTCGGTGGAGGCAGCTCAGACCCGACAGGAAATGACTCCCGAAACGGCTGGGAGCGTCCTGCCAGACCTCGTTCCAAAGTGCGACGATGGCATCCTCGATGCCGCTGCGGCAGGAGCACGTTCCAGGTCGAGTATCTTTCGTTCGAAAAGGGCGAGACAAGATAAACCCGGACATGACTATCCCGCCAGGGCAAAGAAACATCAACCATTTCCAACACAAACGCCTAAGTTTGCGGGCGTCTTTTTGGACGGAGACGCAAGGATTCCCAGCGGAACCCCTTTGACGAATGCGGGCCGCGGTGGCACTGCTGCCAGGCCCGCGCCGCCCGCTAGCAACACCATTTGTTGGGGATGTTCGAAGGGAGCAGACGACTCCTGCAATACGAGGCCTCATCTGCCTTCCACACCTGCGAGCCTTAAGAAGGGGGAGAGGGAGAGACTCCTCGCGCTCCTATGCCTGGAGCTCTGGAAGGAACAGGTGTCGAAGAGCGACATGTACATTTCCAGGAGGAAAGAGACAGGAGGGCGAAGTCGAACGCAAGGTCCACCTCGTCGTCCGGGGTCGGAGATCACTTGTAGAGAGGTTCTGGAAACCGACAGACCGATGTGTCGAATTCGCCGAAAATCGTTGTCCTTGGCAATCTGGATAATGCAAGGCACCCGCGCGCCAGGAGTGCTCGAGGACACGCGAGCATTTCAACGTCATTTTCTCATGTGAAGTACACACTTGGGCAAACGGAACACAACTGTCTCGCCGCGAGGCAGGCTGCGCGGGAAGGCGCCCAGCAACAAGAGGTTGAACGCGCCTTGGCTCGAGCACAGCAGCAGCTCAAAGGACGCATCAGGCCACAAAGAGATGGCTGAACAGAACAAGGCCAGAGTCGAGCTGACGGCAGTCAGGAGAGCCATCGGCGCAACAGCGCAAGAGATGGAAGCCCGCGTGGACGCCGAACGTCGTTTGAGGGATGCACAGGATACTGCAATGGGCCATCGCGCGAAGCAAGCCGAACAAGCCGCTCGCATCGCCGAGGCGGCAAGCGACAAAAGCAGCGCAGCAAAGATGCCCGAGGCCAGGGAAGCGAGAGAAGCGAACTCCAGGGCGGAGCACGCGCCCAGCGCACAGCAGGATGAGCAGAGGCAGAAAAGAAGACGAGCGCTGCTCAGATATCGCAGTTACCCCAAGCCGAGAACCGCAAACTCGCGCAGCAGGCGGGCGCCCCAACCGCGTCGACTGGCGGGAGAACCGACGGCGGAGCAACCCGAGGCCAACCGGCCAATTGCCACCTGCGTCACAAGGGGTGGCACGCCGACGCCACAGCGCGCCGCAATTCGCGACGCAGTGGCCACTGCGGCGCTCGACCGCGCCAACGCACGCAACGCGCAAACGCGAAAGCCGAGGCAGAGAACGGGGCCACGAGGGATGCTCGCGAGGAATAGGGGGCCCGTCGCCGAGAAACACGAGAGACGAAGATCACATCGGCCCCGAGCAGGGGGGTCGGAATAACAAAACGCGCGCGAGTCCGAGGCTCGAGTTGGGGAAGGCAGTGTTTATGTGATTATGAGAGGGGTTCGAGACGCAAGAGAACTCGACGTTGGCTGCTAGTCGCAAAACAGAAGCAGGGGCCAGGTGCCACAGAAAGGGGGCAATCAAAACGCAGAAGAATGTTGGAACAAAACTGGCTAGACGCAGGACTGAAGAGCGGCTCGAAAAGACGCGGGCCGAGGTGCGACCCCCGGAAGAAGAATCACGAGACCTCGACGCCGGGGCCGAAGCCGCCGCGGCGCAGGCCGCGCTCGATTCAATCCCTGACGAGCCCCCCGTTCGACGAAGATGACATGGCCTGGTCGGCGCGAAAACGCCACCCTATCCGTCACTGACGAGGAGAGTCGTACGAGGCCTGAACGGGCGCCCATGGGCTCCTGGGCGGCGGCCCTAAGGGCGACCCTGACGACGGGGGCGGCGGGGGCGATGGGGGCGACAGCCGGGGGGGGGCTTCGCGGCCCACCAGGAGGCTCCGGCGGCGGTTCCGGCCCCCCCAGCGGGGGGCGGGCCATCAGCTCCAGCCGCGCCTGTAGGAGACGAGTCGGCGCCGCGCAGGAAGAGCGACGGCAGCGCCGCCAGGCATCCGAATCGCCGCTCACCCACCTGCGCACAGGAGGCCGACGCGCCGCGCAATTGCGGCGGCGGTTTCTGATTACGGCAAAGCTCTGTCACGATTCCAACAGGCGCTGTGCAGCAGCGCCCTGTCGAAGTGCCCGAGGGCCCCGCCGCGTTCTCGCGGCGCGACTTTGCCGCGGCATTCCGTCTGCTCACTAAGATCAGATATGCTCATGTAAAAATGGGCAGCGTGTCACGGCGAAGCAGTCGCTGGCTGAGATTGACGGGTCGGGCGAGCGGCGCACGAGGGCACGTGGGGAAATCCATTCACGGGGCGAGACAACGAGGGTGATTGTACAGTATTGTGCGCGGCAGTAGGGTATG